GATATCTGTGGTAATATCTACATGGTAAATAAGGAATATTTACATCACGTGTTATCCAAATACCGTTTTTTAGCGTTGAGTTAACTTTCTAATCTAGAACAATCGATGAGCGATATAGTTTATCAGTGGCTGATACACCTAAAGAGCCCAGAGATGTGGTCGTTGAAGAAAAAAAAGTAATAACAAAAAAGAAATGAGGATAGTCGTCGGGATATCAAGTTGGACAATGAAGGAAATCGAATGAATATCTGTCAAAATAGCAACCGTGAGAACATTCGTCTTATAATAACTGGTAAAATAGTGAATATAACATATTCCTGAATTTACGACAGTCAGGAAGGATATATATATATATATATATATATATATATATATATATATATATATATATATATATATATATATATATATATATGAACATCAGGTTATTAGTGGGAAGAAAGCGAGCAAGATCCTAGTAGCCGGAAAGATTTAGATTATATTTTTATGTAAAAGGGTTTTTGTGTAACTGAATCTTTCAGACATACATAATTCTGGATACATGCTTGGTGTCGGTGGAATTTGTGCGTGTGCTAGTGAAAGAGAAAGAGAGTTGGGTGAGGAGAATCTTGATTTTCTCTCCCTTGCCTTTTTCTCTCTCTCCTCCTTTGCCTCTCTCTCTCTTTGAATATATATATATATATATATATATATATATATATATATATATATTATTATTATTATTATTATTATTATTATATATTTGTTATTCCCAAATGAGAATATTACAAATTGAGAAATATTAATTGATGGTTGAATATTGGCTCTTTTCACCTGTGGAACTATCTACCGGATTCCTGTCACCTACAATATTCAAAAATTCAAATGAAACGTCAATCACCATATTCTGTCTTCCTGTACCCTGTTCTTTTATTGTCCTTTCTCCTTATTAATGTCTTTTAAATCTCTTTCACTCCCAGAAAACCATTGTTCCGTACTTGTATTATCGCTCTGCTCGGGGTAAATTATACATACATACATACATACATACATACATACATATATATATATATATATATATATATATATATATATATATATATATATATGCAAATTAAGTGAAACAACCGATTTAGTGTCCTTTCTTTCGCTATATGGTCACTTTTAGACCCAATTGATTGACCGTGTAATCAATTTCCATTTGTATCCGTAGAGTAGTCTATTTGCAGTAGTGTGCAGTCATATGAATCTATTTTCGGTGTGTACCATGGAATGTGCTTGGACATGAAAAATATTGCGCATTCGTGATAGATTCCGATTTTCATTACGACCAAACACTATTGTCTTGACTGTCGATTGGTTGTCCCACGGCCATTGTCTGCAACAGACTCCAAGGAAGCGTACAAAAATTGTAACGCTGCACGAACGAACAGGCAAGCCTTACCAGTGAGCAAATTTAATTACCGGAGACCGTAGACTGGCACGGAAGCTCTCCTGATTTAAATCTAATCGAGAATCTGTGGTCAAGTCAATCTGCACGGAATGACTTCGTGGAATGGACACACGAAATATTAACATGTGCACACTTGGTCATATTTCATTGCAAAAAATACGAAAAAAGTATATAATAACTGAATTATGATTTTTGTTTCGATTAACTTGCACAAGGTTGTATATATATATATATATATATATATATATATATATATATATATATATATATATATATATATATATATATATATACAGTGTGTGTCTTGCCTTGTTCGTGATTTTTTCTTTTCTAAGAATGTGTTAGATCTTCTGGCACATAGTTTTTTTTCTTTCGTATATATATATATATATATATATATATATATATATATATATATATATATATATATATATATATATATATATCAATTTGAGAATTACAAAAACATTATTTGAAAAAAAAGCAAAATAATGCAAGATTAATAATCTTTCTGCTTCTTGAAAGAATAGTTTTTTATGAAACGCCGGAAACGCATGCTAAATTGACAGGTGTTTCTATGGATGTATCTTTTAAACAAGGTAGAAAATTCGGTTAGCATTTTAAATGTATGCCCTTATGTGTGCCTTGCGAATATTAAGAACATTCTATCTATCTATCTATCTATCTATCTATCTATCTATCTATCTATCTATCTATCTATCACAGCCATACTGAAGCAACACCAATTCGAAAAGGTATCAAATCTATGACTAGAACGCTATTCTTATGGAAAACCAATGCCTTATTCCTAAATGTTTTACTCGGCATGTAACCCATTGATTTAACATGTGAGGTCTGTCACAGGCCGCACACTGAATCTCAGATTAGAACTTCATTAACTCAGTTCTTATGGCAGTACCAGAGATCACAGGAAGATTTTCCGAATATTATATCGAGAAGCCTACCTGTGGTGGTGGTGATGGTGATGATGATGATGCTGATGATGATGATGATATCTATCTATCTATCTATCTAACTATCTATCTATCTATCTATCTATCTATATGAAATGTGAATGAATAGAATTCAATTCCGACGTTCGTAACATTCTATGTGTGTGCGTGAATGTGTATACATTGGTGCGGTGTCTTTCATTTACTCTAATGAACTCCACATCTCCGTTTTCTATTACTCTATATTTATGTGAATTAACCCATCTTTTTTTCATCTTAAGGGCTGATAACTATTGACAATTTGAAAAATTGCCACGAAAAGTACTGATTTACATTCTTAGATGTAGTTTCTTTCTATTTTTTTCTTAGTAAATTACACAATTATTTTCAAGTAAACAAAGCATTTTAAATGACATATTTTTTTCAATGTCTTTTCATTTCATTCATCCAAACGTATTATTCCATCAGAATTGCCCCTAGTTTTGGAGACGATAACCTACTTGAAAAATTAGATATTTCATGATCATATTTGTTTTAAAGGACTATTTTATATTTTACTCTTATTTCAAATTCTTTATTAATAACATTTTATGATTTCACATTCCAAATGATTAAGATGGCACTCTTTCGGAATCAAGAGGCAGCAAGTGTCCACACAATTTCAGTATAACTTCAGTATTTCATTTTTATTGGTTTTCATTCATTGATCTTTTTACAATGGCAGCATTTCAATGGCGATCAAGTTCGAGCTAATATCCTCATAACTCTAGCACCGTCCCCAGTATTTCATTTGATTTCATTAGTGCTGATATCTGGCTCTAAGTTTTTCATCGGATTATTATTATTATTATTAATAATAATAATAATAATAATTTCTAAATTCCAAGGAGAGATGGAAATGAATTTCATCAAGACATGATAAATTTCATAACGTGCGATCATTTTTGTTTAATTTTCTTGTATCGAGTGTCGTTACATTCCTTCAAATTCTGCCCAGATGCTTTTGAATATCACTACGCTTTTCGTCCCAGCACTTCATTTTCAATCCACGAGTTTCAGATCCATGTAATTCATTCTATTTACGTTTCAAAATTGTGTTATCAACTTAGAGAATACATGTCGCTGCCTTTCATAATATATTCCGTTATCTTGATCGTAAAACATTACTTATTCCCTGTTAACGATAACAAATATACATTTTTCTTTGTCTCAGTTTCTTTTAACTGTAATTTATTAAATATTTCCCAGACTGATATTTGAACAGTTTATTCATGGTACTTTATTATTAGAAAAATTAACTCTAATTTATATTTCCCTAATTACAAATATCACCAAAAATGTTCTTGTTTAGGATGACTGCAAGCATCATTATGACATAACATTTTATTAACATTTCTAAAACTCAAAGAAGTCAATTTTTCCTGTGATCCCAAACGTGTTTATGAGTATTTTGCCATATTCGGCAGTAGATTATCAGTTTTAAACTTTCTTTAAACGCCAATTCAGAATCAAGCGTACGAAAAGCTTTTTTTATATATTGAGATAACTGTCTTTTATTATTGATATAATTCGAAAACATTTAACTCTAGTTTGATATATGATATAGATTTGAGTATGAAATAAGAATAAATCACATCAAATGTCCGGCATATAATAAATATTGTTGCTGATGTCATGATTTTTTTTCTGAAAACTTTCTTCTTAATTAGAAATCTGTAATGATAGATACAATTGTGGCAACATTTATTTTGCTTTGTTTCTTTGGCCAAATATAGGTATTTCTTCAACAAGCTGTTTTCTATTTATCTCTTTTAAAAGAGTGACACCCACACTCCGACAATATTTATAGCGCATTTTTGAAAATGTTTAAACACCTTCTTGATTAGGGCTAGGCTATTCGTTTGAATGTCATATTTAAGTTTTATACTTCTATCGAGCGGATTTCTTAGTGTTGTTCTCGTTGGCTTCTTCCATAAGTGGTCTCAAATGGTTTTCCATTGAAAGATATGTGTCAGCAATATCCAGAGAACTCCGGCACTCTTTGATTACGGCTTATAGTCAAGGTGTCATCTTCCGATTACTATCTTTCATTCTAGACTGTTCCATATTGTTTCAAGCTTACCATTAACGATGGATACAAATCTTTCTTTAATATTCCACTTTTTTCTAGTTCTTTTTCCATGGCATATTAATTAATAAAAACCAGGGTCTAATTTATATATATATATATATATATATATATATATATATATATATATATATATATATATATATATTCGTATCTGCGCGGATCTCTTTTCAGAAAATGTGTTTATTTAGCTTACGTCTTGATATATACATACAATTGAAAGTAGACTTGAAGAGAATGTATATATATATATATATATATATATATATATATATATGTGTGTGTGTGTGTGTGTGTGTGTGTGTTTGTGTGTTTGTCTGTGTGTGTGTGTGTCTGTGTGTCTGTGTGTGTCTAATATATTTATTTATATGTATCGAATATTTGCAAAATCCCTGATTAAATTATACTAATATTTCTGATTTTGGGGTATGAATTCATATGTATTATATTAGTACACTAAACGATAAGGCAGGTCTTTTTCAAGTTGAAAAGAAGCTTGTTAGTAGATCAGATCTCCTGTAGATTATTCCTTACAAGTGGATCACACACGCACATATCTTGCACATATTATCCTAAATAAAATAATGAGATTGTAAATTTGCTTCCTCTTTCTTCATCAAACGGGTATTATTGTGAATTTTGTAATGTTATAGCAATGTTTAACACTATTTTACATAACAAAATGTTTAGATGTATTTGAATGTATTTACATTTTTATTGTTTTATCTTAAAAAGGGCAAAAGTTTAATTGTCTCCCCTTGTTTATTTGAGCTTTTTTTTTTTAGTTTTTGGAGATATTTTTGCTGAAACTTAGGTGGATTATTTTTAATACTTGTTTCATCGTTCAAAAATATGTATATGACATTTTATTTACCTGTTGAGATTCTTTTTTTTATATAATAAAAGTAGAGTTATCCTCTCCTATTGAGAAAATTGATGAAAATAGGTGAAGAAATCAAAAATGAAAGTGCAAAATATTCATCATCCAAAATTTTAAGCAAAAAAAAAAAAAAAAAAAAGAAAAGAAAAATTTTAAAATGTATATAAAAGCAAGCATGTAAATATAACAATGGCAGTAAAAACAATGAAGCAAGATTTTGAAATCTCGTTATTACGGATCACGTGACTATGAAAATCTCATGACGTGAGCGTGCATATTTTTTAGTTGTTTTCTTCTTTTTTTTCTTCTTCATGTTGCTGTAGGCTTTTTATCTGGAGGCCTGTAAATTCCCTTATGCCACCTGCCACCTTTAAGAATTTCGCTGATAAAATTCCTGCACAACAAACGTTAATACAAAAACAAAGGAACTGTCAGAACAGATAAGTTCGTAAATGCTGTGGTGTGTACAAGTACGCATGCGCAGCATTTACTCACACAAACGCCCGCTCTTTTACTGCCTTAATCCTCAAGCATACAAACGTGGATGCTGTCTTTCTTTTTACAAATAGATGTGTCTTTATGCGCCTAGTCTTGCAAGCCTCTACACATTTGCTAAAACGAAAAATATGTCGTTGATAAGTATAGTGTTTTTAAATAAAATAAAAAAAAATCATTAAACAGTATGCATTTACAGACAAGTATTTTGCAGGGAATACATTTTACGGTAAAAAAAAAAAACATGTCAAATTTGAACTTCAGACTTGCGTATTATAATCGCTAGTGACAGTTGTCTATAACGTTGAATTTTCTTTACAAAAAAATCTCTGATATAAATTCAACGTTTTACCATTACGAAGATGATGAGCATAAAGAACAAAGATCTTTTTTTTAAAGTCCCCAATAATTTTTTATTGCTTTTGTGTTAATTGCTTTTTTATTTACATTTATAACTTTTAGAATAATCATTTTTATGCTTTCAAATTAGTTGTCATGGAAAACAACGCCACCATTTCTTAATGTGTCTTGCATCATCAACAAATAGGAAATAATTTTAACAATGTATTTATTGCTGATATTCCTGACATTTGAGATATGATTGATCAAAGATAAAGTTGTGTATAGGTTAAAATGTTTGACGAAGGAGAAGGTTTAGGTTTTATAATGAAATTAATTTTATTAAAGTTATTTATTCCTGAAAGAATAATTTTTTCAGACTGTAATTATACCTTGATAGATTAAATATTTTATACTTGTCAAAAAATTGATGTTATCTCAAATATTAAATAGAAGGAAAAACGCAGCAAGCGTTGATACAAAGAGAGAGAGAAAGAGAGAGAAAGAGAGAGAAAGAAAAGGGAAAAAAGAAAGGTTCTAGTTTCGCCGTACATATTATTGTCTGATAAATTTGTTTTTTAAGGATTATCAAAATGTTGTAGTTTATTTCAAATCGAAAAGTATTTTGCATTGCAAGATTAATTCTTTTTTGAAACTAAATATTAAATTAGTTTGTTTTTAAAGTGATTTTTCCACAAAAAACGCCAACGATTTAACCCATAACTGGAAAATACATCTGGATAAAAAATAGGATAACTTTAAATGGAAAATAAAGGAATTTATTCTACAACCTAATAATATAAATACATATATACAAGGTACGATGGCCATATTATATTTTTAATTTCCCCTATGAGCGTTTTTTGTTTTCGCACAGTATAATAGGACATTTTGGGCAGTGTCTGGGAGAAAAGGAGTAACATCATGCAAATCACTCCGCCAGAAACGGCATGCTGTACAGCTTGGAGTTCGCTCCGGCATCTCCAAAAATTTCGAGTGCCTGGGTGTCAATCTGACGACGAAAAGAGAATGTGGAAAGAGTTTGATTAGTCTAATGCTGATTACGTAAATTCGGTAGCTTGGAAATCGTTCTGACAAGAAAGGAATGCCCAGATTTGTTAGTGATGGCCTCAGACTCAATCCAGTGACCTACCTACAACAAGTGCCTTGAGGAGGTAGTGACGTCATGTGTCAAGACGGTGATTGCTGGAAGACCCAATATCTGGTAACTGGACTCTGAACCATGCCAAACCAGCAGGATAACCCAGTCATG